TGTGTGTGTGTGTGTGTGTGTGTGTGGCGGAGGGGGGGTATTTAATTTATTATGGTTTACATTCAAATTTTTCATGCAGTAACGTAGGTAAGAAATTTAAAAAAGGTATTTTTTATTCTAGAAAACTTATTCCTGCCGTTTTTACAACACCCAATGCAAAAAGGCGTAATGTTTTTGCAAGTGACTGTGTGTGTGTTTAGAGTGTTAGAAAAATATCTCACAAACCAGCTTATAGATTTTAACCAAACTCTAAAACGAATTACTGGATGCATTTCTWCTGATGTTTCATTTTTTTGGAGTCAACTTTGTTAGTGATGGCAGCCACAGCTTATCAAAATCAGCTACTGTAAACCCAAAATGACTATAACACAGTAAGTTTTACAAATATCAAACTACACTTTGGCGTGATAGTAGCTGAGTCATCCTCAACTCATACTTTAAGTGCTAACACATCTCATGAGTTCACACATTATTGCATGGCAAAAGCACATCATTTATAATGTAACTGCTGAATATCCATAAYATATCTTTGTAAAATGATCTTAGTTTAAATGTTCAACATGAACGGGTGATTAAAATTCTTTAAAGGAATGCTACAGCATTAGTTCATTCAATTGTCTTTGTGAAATTGGTTGAGAGAACTGTGAACTCAGTTAACACTAACAAATATAGCAATACATATTTTAGCAAGAATTATACAGCTTTGAACAACCTTATTTCTGACTGGGCTGACTAGCTAATGACTAGTTGGAGCGGGGCCAAAGTTGACTGTTTCTGTCTTAAAACATCTCCAAAATCACATTGTGGTTCATGCAAATGGTATTTTATAAACCTATAAACTCCAATTTCACTCAGACTGGCTATTAACTCTAGTCAGAATTGGTTTATCTTCTCCAAACTGAGCTTGTTCAAAGAGCTACCTACAACAGGTAAAATATTCATCACTCATAATCTTTCCATAGAACCCCAATTAAAAAAAAATTGAACTATAGCTTGAAGAAATAACAAAATAATTTAGCTTTTTTTGTTTCATATGTCATATTTCAAACCTGGAACCATCTTAAACAGGGGTGGAGCCAGAGGGATTGCTGGTGCCTGATTGGTCACCCCAGTTGCCACCCCCAAATTACTGACAAGTAAAGGTTGGAATCACATGTGGCAATAAAAAAATAGATTAGAGCAAAAACAGTAAATATCTGTCAAGCAGCTGTCTTATCTGGTGTAAAGAACCATCAGTGTGTGGGGAAAAACACACTTTTCTAAACCACAGAATTAATACAGAGCAACAATTCCACCACACCAAATTTCAGCTCAGTATGTATAAAACTAGCTGAATTGTAGCCATTTGACTTTGCTTTGGTGGCCATCTTGAATTTTTTTTATTTGAATTTAGAACCTGTTGGGCATACCTCTCGGCTAACATCACACTAAATTTCCACTTAAAATTTTCAAATGTATAGTATTTGATGATCATCTTGAATTTCTAATTTGCCATCAAAGTCTTTCAGGGCTTGCTCTCAGCATACACCAACTTTAAACTCAGTAGTAGTAAAAATGTCTGAGTGATAGCCAATCAAATTAACTGTGGTGGCCATCTTGAATTTTTGATTTGCAYTCAGATTTTGTTGAATATTGCTGGCTACTATTATGACAACTTTTAGCTTTATGTGTCTAAAACTGGATGAAATATATCTCTTACTTTAATTTGCATTAGCCCTTAGCTTAAAATAGAGATGTCTAAATGTCATGGAGATTGCTCTTGGCTCCCACCATATTTTTTTAAATGGCTAAGATGTAACTATTTGAAATAAGGTTTGGTGGCCATGTTGGATTTTGCATTAGTATTCAGATTTTGTTAAAGACTAATTTTGTTTMCTATAATATAAATTTTCAGCTTTGTATTTAAAGGATAAATTTTAGCCTTTTGAAAAATTAGCATTACCAGTTAGCTTAAATTGGACTAGAAATCATTCTTGACTACGCCAAAACAAATCTGAGTTCAATGAGTCTTAAAAAGACTTAATTTTAGCAATTTTAAATTTAGCTGCCAGCTTTGATTAGCATTTAAAATTTGGTAAAGATTGTTTTAGCTACTACTAATTTTCAGTTTTGTTTATCTGAAAAATGTTGAATTTTACTGTAGCTTTTTGTAAAATTAGCATTTGCAGCTGGTTTGAAATTGTGACTAGTATTTAGCATGTTTTTTTTTTCATTCTTAGCTTCTATCACAAAATTTCAGCTCACTATGTCAAAACAACTGAAGTAGAGACATCTGAAGTTGGCTGCGGCAGCCATTTTGAATGGTCAAATCCAGGGTAGTTTTCTTTATTTAACTGTAAGTTCCCCTAGGGATCAATTCATTCATTCATTCATTCATTCATTCATTCATTCATTCATTCATTCATTCATTCATTCATTCATTCATTCATATGTGCCCCCCCTCCCCCAATACCACTTTGGCTGCGCCACCCCTTGCAAAAAACTCTAGCTCCGCCCCTGGTCTTAAAGCGAGACATACTGGTAAATGTAATGTTTTGTTGGATTATTACAAATGACCGTTTCCTGCTCTTTATTCAGAGAATTTGCTGCAAAATATACTTGAAGCCTGAAATAAAAACAACACAACTTAATGGATGATAAATAATTATGCATATCATACTTTATAGTTTGTGGTATTATGAAATTAATCAACATATAATTAACTGTTGATGGGTTTTGATGTTTAAAAAAGCCCAAACTTTTATAACAAAGAAATAACATTTTTGTGATTCCCTTTGATCAAATCTTTACATTAAAGTTAATGCAAGTATTTTGTAAAAGTGTAGAAAATTATTTATAAGAGTAGTTCACTTTAAAGTGAGCATATGGTTGGAGCAAATTAAAAAAAAATCATTAAATTGTAGATTGTAGGTTCTCCTCTCTTTACAGGTATTGAAAAGTCATTGAAACAGGTCATAAAGAATCTCAAAGTTAAAAAACAAAATCTGCCCTTTTTTCACATTGATGGTTGTTGTCKTTAAATTAATAATTGGTCGCTGGATGCCAACTACGTGTTTTTATTTACCCGGTAGACAACAGTGATGTCCAAAGAAAAGCTGTTTTTGGGTGGAAGAATCTATCAATTTAAATGTGTTGACACATTTTATGCTCAGGTTTATTGAGTACACTAAAACATGTTGGGTTCAAACCGTAAACTTAYGGTACTGGTCGGACAAAAGTTTCACAAAAGCCGCTCGTGTTTCAAATGCTGATCTCTGTTATTTTGGCYGTCCGTCGCTCGATCCCTGACATTTGTTCTCAACTATTTAACACATTCTTGTTTTCAGGATTAACAGCAGACTGACTCTTATATTTCCACTCTTCTCTGTTGTCTGATTTCACCACATTCGTTCACCTACACAGACTACCTAATGTAGGTCAGTCATGTGACTCAAGCTCCCATGCAGATTCAGCTGGGTGGTAAGCCAGACACCTTCATTTACTTCAAATTTTATTCCGTTTTTAGCTGCTCCTTCTAATTCTTTGTGTTATCAGAAAGATTTGCCATATATTTCTTTTGTTTTCATATCATGGTTACAAATTCCAATATTCGCTCCTGTGTTTGTTAAAGCTCCAAAGAGCTGCTGCAGAGGGTCCAAAGGGCCCCATGTGGCCCCAGAGACATGGGTTGCAGAGCCCTGGTTGATATGATGAACAAAGGTTGTCCCATAAACTCAGTTATATTTCTGGGGAAACTTGGGTGTACATTCTAAAAGTGGCATATAAATAAGTCTTTGGCAGTATTTTGGCTGGGCGGAGTTCATATGACACAGTATGGCTCCATGGGGGTCTGAGTGCCCAGGCAGCAGGAGAAACAGGCCCTGAGTCTGACCCGTAGCTCCTTGTTGAACAGGAAGCTGATGATGGGGTTGGCCCCTGCCTGGGCGAAGCTCAGCCACACGGCGGCGGTCAGGTGGAGCTGGGGGACGGGGGCCCCGCGCACAAATATCCGCAGGTAGCACGCGCTGATGTACGGAGCCCACAGGACGAGAAAGGTCAGTGTGATCATGTAGAACATCTTCCCGATGCGTTTCTCAGTCTTGAACTCATCCAGAACCAGCAGCCTCCTGTTGCCGGGGTGAGAAGCCTGCCGGATGCCCACCAGCGTGGGTGGGGTGGGCCCGCGGCCGAAGCCGGCAATCCAGTTGGCTGCGGCCTGCCCGGTGGCGCCAGGCCCGTGGAAGGTCCAGTTCTGGCTGATGGCCGGAACCAGCTGGGCRGGCTTCATCTTGCGGTGGTCGTAGACGAAGCAGAGCATCTTGATGTAGACCACGTGGGTGGTCCCCACGATGACCACCAGCATCAGCATGAAGCCCAGCGTGTCGTTGGCCTTCACGTAGCGGTGCTCGAACGTGCACTGCTCCTCCTCGCGCACGAACGTGTACGTGCCCACGTCGAAGACCGGCGGGGAGGCCATGGCCACGGACAGCGTCCACACCATGCAGATCACCGCCACGCACGTGCACAGGTTCATGCGCTTGGAGTAGAAGCGGTGGTGGGCGATGGCCATGTAGCGCGTGACGCTGACGCAGAAGAGCAGGAAGGCCACGTGGAAGCAGAAGAGCACCGACAGGAAGGCGACGATCTTGCAGCTGAGCGCCCCGTAGGGCCACGCGGAGCCGCCGCCGACCGACGCCATCACGAAGGGGAAGCAGACGGCCGCGCGCAGCACGTCGGCCGCGCACAGGTCCAGCAGGAAGAAGTAGGGAGCCCGGCGCAGGGAGCTGTCCCTCAGCAGCAGCAGCGACAGGGACGCGTTCCCCAGCAGGCTCGTGGCCATGATCAGACCCAGGGAGGCCAGCTTGACCGCAGAGGCCGCGGACGCTGCGTGGTTCTGGAAGGACGAGCTGCTCTCCCCGAACTCACTTGTGTTTGCCATCAGCAGAGCGCGTGCCCCTCTCCCCGCATCAAATCCTCCCCCCTACCTTCCTTCAACACAACCAGGCCCGGAAAGGCTAAAAACATCCGCCTCAAATCCAGAAACAATCCTTTTTCTTCTTCTTCTTCCTCTTCTTATCCCTCATTTCTCATGGTTTAAAGCTCCATGATCCTCCGAGCAGCAGCTTCAGCACCAACCCGCTCACAAAGCGCATCTCTCCCCACACCACCCTGGCAGCGGCAAGGGTCTCTCTCTCTCTCTCTCTCTCTCTCTCTCTCTCTCTCTCTTTCAGTTTCCTCTCAGAGAAGAAAAATAAAATAAAGCAAAAGTAAAACAGCGAGTGAGGCACTCAACAGAACCGGGCCGGCCGGAGCGAACCGGAGCGCGGTTGTGTGTGCGCGTGAAGCGGAGCTCCCCTCGGGTGGGTTCTGTCACACCAGCACCGTCTTTTTACCGATGCGACGCACGTCCGCTCGGATCCGGGGAGGCAGGCCTGGGATCAGCAGGAGGCTGAGATGTTGGCAGGCAGATCAGCAGCTCTGCGCTGATAGGCAGATTAAATCAACCACTCGCTTTGCTTTTTAACCATCTCAAACTGTCTGAAGATGATTTTCCACGAACAAAATGAACAGCACATATTTATGTTAGCAATGCATTTTTTATCTCTGACAAATAAAAACAAAAACATCTGTGATTATTCTGGATCTTTGCAACGCATGGTTGAAATGAACCCAATGGATTATTATTATTATTATTATTATTATTATTATTATTATTATTATTATTATTATTATTATTATTATTATTATTATTATTATTATTATTATTATTCAAAGTTGCAAAAAATGACTACTGTAATGAATGTAACAAAAGTACCCGCAGGCTGAATTTGCTGGCGCTCCAACGTCTCATTAAAGCAATATTTCAACATAGCTGCACGCCTTGAGCATGTGTTAGAATAAACAAAGAAAATATGAACAATTGTTTGTTAATTTTTACYCGCTATAGCAGACGGGTGGGCCAGATCAGGCTGACACTGCCATGACAAGTAGTTTGACAGGTCATGCAGTGATAGACCTGTTTTTAAGATGCCACAGCTGGTCCAATTGTGGTGTGGTTTATGTGGTGCTGGCCTATGCATGGGCCACTTCTGGCAGACCACATCTGGGCCACCAAAGGGCCGTCATGTTTTGTGGTATCTGGGCTGATTGCTACATGGTGTGGGCCAGAACTGGACCAGAAAAACTGAGCTATGTGGGTGTGCAATAATAGTATTGGTACCCTAAAACAAGGCACTATAGTCATGTGTCAAACTAGTGTTTGGTTTAATTTGTATCACAGCTTTCAAGCCTTTTGTCAGACAGAAAACAAAAAGCCACAGGGTATTTTGGAATTGCTTTGTGTACACTGAACCATACCATCACCAATCAGCTTCATGTCTGAACTTAGCTGACAAGATTTTTAAAAAGTTGACCGGGGACAGTTGCAACACTTTTTGCATTTGACTCTGTTACTCAGAGATGGTTTGATTTAGACAAACCAAATTTTAATACAGTAAACTTACATCTGTCTGTTCATAGTCAAAATCATTTATAGATTATTAGAGCATGTACATTCTTCACAATTTGCATTTGAAAGTGAAAAGTCAGATGTTGCAACTGACCCCAGGACCGGGGACAGTTGCAACATGGTTTGGGGGTGATTGCAACATTTTATTAATACAAGATATTTCACTGTAAATAAAAGTTTATTATTTTTATGTTTATATTATTTCAAAATTAATGAAAACTGTAAGTTATAATGATATTACTGTGTTATTTATTTATTCTTTTTGATCAAATGACRAATATAGATTTGCCTTGATGAGTAGACCTTTTATACAGATGTCAAAGACTAACTGATTTAAAATACAGTTGACTTTTTGAGACAAGAATAATAGAACAATTTGTGAGGCAATTAACTTTTGTTTTGCCTATTGTCACTGTACGCCTACATTATGCAACATTTACATAGAAAGAAACTGGGATTTTAAAACCATTGTTGAAAACAACAACTGCAGAAAATACATCTTAAACACTTTTGTGTTTTAAACTATAAAACTGCCATGAATACCAATACCCTTTTAAGTGTAAACTTAATTTCAACATCTTAATGTCATCTTTTAATGATCTGTTTTTATATGGATTTATTGTATGGGGACAGTTCCTTCCTGTCAGCCATGATAAAACCTCATGTGTTAGCTAAATAAGCTGATCTGGATACATGTTAACCATATTAGTTAAAAGTCAACATGTCACTTATTTAAACCATATAAGTTTGAGCTGGATCACAAAAACAGTGACAACAGTACAACAAAAATAAAGCTGGGCAAAAAAAAAACTTTGGTACCTCAAAAACAGGTTTTTTTTTCAAATAAATCCTGGAGCAGTTTTTGAATCTGTTTACTTTTTATTTACAAGGTTGAGCATCCAACTGAGCATGTACAGTGTGAGTGTCATCACTCTAGCTTGTTTCTGTTTAGAGAAAATTGACGTGTTGCAACTGTCCCTTGTTGCTACCCGGTCTCCCCTACAAGGATCTTGTAACAACCGCCCAGTACAAGGATGCAAGAGGAACTGCAACCCCACTGATCAGACAAATATGGAGAAGAGGAGTCGAGGAAACCATCTAGCTCTGTCACTTTTTTGATCTCACCATTTGTCGTTTCAATCCTAAAATTTGGGAGTGGTAGAGTAGAGGTTAAAGAATGTGGGCCTGCTCATCTCTCCAGACCAACCACAAAAATGTGTCCTACTCTGAACCCTTGAGCCAGGCAACAGGAAATAGTTCCTGACACGTTCCTGGTGAAAACTCAGGAAAGTGTGAACAGCACCGCCTGCTGATTTCTGGTGGAAAACCAGGATGAAATAGAAGCTCAATAATCAAAGTTGGCTCTCAGCTGGACGTGTGCACTTTGAACTAAAGCTGCCGTCATGTGACAAGGTTTCCCCTGCTGCTACTGCAGTGATTCACACTCACCTCAAATACACAGGTTTGGATTTCTATCCTTATTAGCAAATATGCGTGTGTGCGCACACACACACACACACACATTTGCACAGCTATCCATTTGGGGATATTCCATTGACTTCCGTTACATTCCTACAGCCTAACCCTGACCACAAACCCTAAGGCTAACCTCACAGGTACCTACCTGACCCCAAAACTAAACTAAACTCAATTCACACCTTGGTCCTAAACCCAACCCCCCAACCCACCAATGACATTTAAACCAAACGGGGACTCGACTTTTGTCCCCAAATTCACCAGTTGTCCCCAAAGGTAGGCATTTTGTCTTAAAATTGTCCCCAAATGGCACCCCCCCCCCCCCCACACACACAGTAATCAGTTTTAGTGGGATAATTAACACTTATAGACTCTTATAGAGTTTCTGAGTGTTAAAAGCTGATATTCAGAGTTTGTAAATCTGTTAAGGAGGGGGGTAATTATTGTAATTAAGTCATTAAGTATAAAAATTAAGTACTTTACACCAGAATAATTACTACTAGATTGAAACTGGGTCACTGCAGCAGGAGGTTCAAGAGCGTATAAAGCAGAAACTTTATGGTACAGCTTATCCAAGAACAGAAAATAAAAAGATTTTGAAAAAAAGAGATTGACAAAATGATGTGAAAATAAAGTACAGTGTGTCATATAGCTTTAGTTCATTTAATGTGAAAACATACCAGATTTTTGAGCTTGACACCCAAAAGCTTCAAACTGAAGATTGTGTATTGAGAAGATGACTCACTCTAAAAAAAATCTGTGTCAACTAACTGTTGTTTTACAGCACAGCAAATGATGCACAAGAAAGAGGTGCAGAAAAGCAAACCTGATGCAAGAATTCTATAAAATCTTATTTTGCTTTGACAAGGACAATAAGCTTCAGGGGGCTGATATTCAACATAATTACCTCAAGTAGACATGCATGGGATTCAACTCAGACCTAAATTTCAACTTTACTCAGTATGATGAGTTATATAGTTTGAATCTGCCTGGTTATCACATTTTCACACATCATAAAGGACACGTTTACCAAAAATATTATAGAAATGTTAGGAACATTATAAACACATCATAAATACTTACAGACATGTTAGTGCCCTAATTAGGGTCAAAATGCTTTATTAGCACTTTAATTAAGAAGATTTGAAATTAGCAAATGATGATTAGTTGAAAACATAAAAATAGGCAAAAAGTAAAATGTGTTTGAAATAAAATGTTTCTACCAGGTGAGATTAGCTCCATCTAGTGGAATAAATATGAACTGCTAACACTAGATTTGATTGAAAAAGTGGGTTTTTTATACAAATAATTATCTTTTATCTGCTGTTGCTCGTTTTTATACAGTTATTTGTATTGTAGGTATAATTTAGTGATAACTTTGGATAAATTCAGCTTGTGTACCTGTAACAAAGTATCGACCAAAAATTGAGCAGAGTGAGCTCTCTTTTTTTCCTCCCATCTTTGTGGCGAAGCAGTGGTGAGAGTGGGGACGTTTCTGCTCGGTGATGACGCAGAGACGTCAGCAGTGGGTGGGCGGAAAAGCGGTAGTGTGTTTCGGTAGCTGAGGATAAAGCCCGAACCGGGTGTTTTTATTTCGAGGATTCACTCAGAGGGAAGACTGAAGGGACTTTAGCGCGTCCCCTGCTGAAAATGGCGGTCCCCGCGGGTCAGACGGACGTCCAGATGGACAGAGGCGCCCCGAGCGACCAGACGGTCCCCCCCGAGAACAACATTGACATCGACGAGAGAGAGTTGGAAAACATCACAAAGAAACAGCGAGAAGGCGACACGGCGACGCTGCCTTTGCACTCACCTTGGACGTTTTGGCTGGACAGGTAGCATTTTTAGCTTTCTTCCGTGTTGCCTGTGAGTTTGGAGCCCCGGGAAGGAGCAGGGTAGTGGGGTCGACGCAGGAAAAAAAAAAAAAAACACCAGTCAAGGCCACAGCGTTACCAAAGGCCTGCAGGAGCAAAAATACTCAGGGAGGGAAATGTTTGCATGTTAGGGGTTACTTGGACCCTTTCTCTCTGTACAAATTAACAGCTTTAGACATCTTATGCCAGTGCAGGTCGTCAGAAATGGGTTGGTGTTAATAAGTCCTACATTCTGAGGGGCAAGTGAACCTCTCACTGTTATTTAACCAGCCAGCTGCAGGAAGTTTTGTTTCACAAGAAGGTGAGTTTGGCTTGAAAAGGACTATGCTGTTTGATTTTATGAAAAGTAAACAGATATTATTCTCGTAATGGCCAACAAATTTAAACCCAATTCATATAAATGTTTGTCGGACAGCTGTGTAATGCCATGAGAGTCCTTTCTTTGTGCAAAGTGACTCTTTAGCTGTGATTAAAACATAACCCTGTTTATTTTTGTCTCCTATCTTATATACATGGGTGGTTGGTTGGTTGTTATCAAGGCTTTATGTATAGCATATTGTGCTTCAGGTCTAGGGCTGCCACAAACGATCATTTTTATAATCGATTAATCACCGATTATTTATTCGATTAGTCGACTAATCGGATCATACGTTAATTGAATATAAAACAGAGCTTATCACGTCAGAATTCAGCTGCTATTATATAACMATGGTTAGATTTTARCTATATGCTAACTAAAAATAATTGCTGTGGAAGGCAAGTTCTGCTCTGCAGATATTGCACAGGTTTCTCTTTCATTTTCGTAAAATGATCCCACACTTTTCAGGTCTGTTGTCAGGTAGCCATGATACCAGAGCCTGTCTGTATAATGTCTTGTGACCTCCATGGCCTACACYRGTTACCAYTACTGTGCATGTGTGTCAAGGACAGAAAGGCAGATGTGGCAGTGGAAGGTGTCAAAGCAGTTTGGAGAGAAAAACAAAGKAAAGAACAACAACAACAAAAAAAGAAAACGATTAATCGATTATTAAATTAGTCATCATTATTTTAATAATCGATTAGTCATCGATTAATCGATTAATCGTRGCAGCCCTATTCAGGTCAAAGGTCTTCAAATTTCAACAAACCTGACTCTTCTACATCCTTATGATTTTTTTGTAAAGCAAACAACCTTAATTGAAAAAGCTTCACAATAACCCGAATGACACAAAAGTCATGTGTCTATGTTTAAAAAAAATACTATTTCAGTATTTTAGTGTCTCATGTAGGTCAATCACGTGACTTTAGCTTTTTTTTTATTAGCAGATTTTGCTGAGTGCTGTGTTTACATTGACTGTGTACCTGCATTTCAGAAATGCATATGACATCAATATATCTGTATCTATCTCTAAACTACTGGACTAAACTCATTCAACCCATTGATATCGTCATTTGTTAGAATTCATGATAACCTTTTTGTCATTTATTTTGCATTTTACAGTATCTTAATTGTCCCAAACTTCTAGGTATCATCCATCACAAACATATTTGTATGATTTAAACATATTTTTAGAGACTGAACTGAACTTTCAACTGTTATTTGGTTTATTTTTTCAGTTGTTAAAATATTATTAATCTGTTATTTTTTTATTATTGTTTAGTAAACTTTTGTTCACCCCAAAGGTTTATTTTGTTAGTGCAGATATTGTTATGAGCATTTTTATTTCAAGATTTAATGAAAAGTATTTGCTGACTAGTCCTGTCACAATAAACAACAAATCAATTAATCGTCTGATAAGTTAAAATGAGGAAGATAAATTAAAATGAAGAAAGTAATTTTAATTTGCCTTCTTGTTTGCCATTTGGGGAGGGGGTCCTGAAGAAGGGCGGGCCGCCGGGTGCGGTCCTGGGCTGTGGGTGGGCTCGGGGCTTGGACGGTCGCCGGGGGTGGGGCTGGCTCTCCGTCCTCCCTGGTGCTGCTTGGTCTCCTGAGGTGTGGCTCTTGGTTTCGGTGGGTGGCCCGCTGGCCCGTGGCTGCTGGGTTCTGGTGGGTGGAYGGCTGGGGGAGTGCACTTGGTCGCTGGCGGTGTGGTGGGGTGGTCATGGGTGTGGCTTCTCTGCGGCGGGGGACTGGCCAGGCGTCCTGGGCCTTGGCTATCTGCTCCTCTCCACCTCAGAATGATTGGGTCTACCTCCTGGGTTCGGGTGTGTGCGGCCTCCATTAGGGGGTGGGTGCATGTCCTGGACCTGGGGGGTTTAGAGTGTGTATCGGGGGTATGAGTGGAATGTGGCATCCTTGTATAGTTTTTAGCCACATTCATATTAGGTTTGAGATAGGCTTATATTTCTTTATATAATAGAAGAAAAAGAAGGAGAAAGAAAAAAGTGAAATGTAATGAGAAAGAGTGAAAAAGAGATTAGAAGACACGCAAAATACACATTGAGAA